GCCTTATCTTACCTCCAGCGTCCTGTAACTTGAATGAAAAACTGAAATAATCTCCCCATATCCCAGCTACAACTACTTACTAAAGGAAATTCAGTGACTTCAGATATGATATTGTAGAGTTAATTCTGACTTTTCTCCTGTACATATTAAATCTAAATAATGGTAGAGGATAAAAGTGGGAAACTGGTGAGCTTTAAAGGAAATGGGTGAAAAACTTCTGCATCATTTTCTCTTCTGGTTTTCAGTGGGAATAGCAAAAGAGCAATGAGGAATCTGCTGGTATTTCCAAGGAAGTTAAAGATTGCAGATGTTATTTCAGGCTCAGTGTTTAGCTTGGTTGTGAGCATTTTACCCACATCCCAAAGGGGGATGCTCACAGAGTCCTTAATCATAGAGTTTCTGTTGGAATACAGTTGTGAAGGATCTGTCCAAGGAGTGACATGCCCAAAGAAATATTTTGTCTGGCCCATGAGTGGAGTGCTTTGGCTAAGGTTCAGCACACACCTTGTGTTAAGAGTCAGGATTTAGCATGTTAGGGATTCAGGAGAGACCAAGGAGACAGGTTGAATGTAGGGAGGTGTGGGGTCTGTGAAAGGGGTGTCCAAGGAACGGCTGGCTGCCAAAAAAATATTTCCCCTAAGAGCATTTTCATCTGGAGCATGGCTGAGGATCCTTTTTCTGGAAGGAGATTAGTTCTGAGTGTTGGATAGAGTTAATTTCAGAACAGAAAAAACCCATAGTTCCCAGATTAGTTGAGATCTTCTGTAAAATCTTCAGTCTCTATCTCAGACAAGTAAGTGCATTGCACAGATTTGATCAGATGGGGATTTTACATTAATGAGATGGAAGAAAACTCATTTGCATACTCTTTGTTATGGGGATATTTGTGGGTTTTGTTTTTTCCACTGAGGCTTTTGTCCTTTTCTAGGCATGTTACCAGGCACTGGAAATCGTGCCAGTGATATAGCACTGGAGAATTTTGCCTCCACATTTTTCGTTACTTTAGCTCTTGGCCCGTATTACTTTTCCTTTCTTCTACTGTCCAGAAGTTCTGGCCATATCTTCCTGATATAAGAAGTGCAGAAGTAGGAGTGACTACTTTTATTTTAGCAGATTTTTTATGTAGCTAAGCACAGGGAGACAGAAAGCAAAGCCAGGTAAATGGGACTTTGACATTTAGATGGACTCAGCAGTGCATTACACCATGGAGGACAGAAAGCTTCTCAGGAAAGGCAGTGGTGGAGCCCGGTAGCACTACCAACTTCCCTTGAGCTCATGACTCCATCTTAACTCAAACTGGGCTGAATGGGTAGGCAGGAATGAGTGCAAGGTGATGTGATCTCTGTTTTTTAAAAAAATTGCCCTTCAGGTATAGCCACCAGCATTCAGCTAGGTGAAGATTTTCTTTGCTGGAAGAAGGTCTTCAGAGGTCTCAGCATTGATACTGTCACAGTCAGGGAACATGCCATGACAAAACCTGCTATGATCCATGATGTGATATGGTGATGATAAATGTGCTAGTGGAACTGGTGGCCAAAACAGAGGTGATTACTACGCTGTCAATAACCACAACAAATCTCACTGGTATTCCAGTATTGAGCATCATCTGCAACAAGTGAGGACTGTGTTTGTCATGGACCTATACAAAGGTCATGTTTTCTGGCTCCAAAGGTCTATATGACCTGGAAATACCCTATAATTTTTAATGAACATATTCCCAATAGCTATGAATGATGGTGTAAGCAAGAGATGCAGAGGAAGCTGCTAGAAACAATCCCCAAAAACCAGATCTGGCATCCTACACTTCAAAGGGAGTTAGGGAGTGGGATGCAGTGTTGGCCAAGAAAGCATGTTCCTGGGTCTTGCTGACAGAAGAGCGCTATTGCTGTGCTAGCCAGACAGCTCCTGCTAGAAGTGGAAAATTGTGCCCAATTCTGAATGCACTCATTTGTGCCATACCTGGTCATCTACTGATCCAGCACTGATAGTCATGACCCAAAGTGGCCTGGCTGTGAGCTGAAGTTCAGGCTGATACTGTGTAAGAATTGCTAATTCGAACTTCTCCTGGACTGTCTGCTGCCAATACACTGCACTGGAGTCAGAGAAGTTACTTAACCAGCTCAGTGGATAGTGCTTCATGTTTAGTTCTTGTTTTCCAAGTGTTCTGTTTTAAAACTTTCATCTGTCTTTGAGCCATAAAACATGAATAGATTTACTGAGGATTGGGTGTTGTTTTGGTCTGACCTTCCTATCCTGCAGAGCAATATCTTGTGGTGAGCAATTACTTTGATTCATTATTACTTTTTAGAGTGCTTTTCCCTCTAAGATACACACTTTTGGATGAAGTAAAATGTTATGCCTTTTGAAGCAGAAGTTCAATTGCTAGAAGTCGAAATAAGCTCTTCACGCTTTATAAAAGGAATTTAAACTTCCATTACACAGAAAATAGTACTTTAAATTCAGATGTGCTTTAGTTGAAAAAAAAAGTGAAAAACAAGTTAAATTATTTGCTTTGAAGTTAAGAGATTGTTTTTTTCACATTCAGTATTACTTTTGGTACTGTATAATTATTATTGCAAACCAAATGGCTTTGAACTAAGAATCAAATATTCAAGTGCTATTAAAAGTAATTTTCCCTGTATTTTTCTGAAACATTTTAATCAGATCATATAAAGTCAGGCAAATGAGGTAATACACAATATGTATCCACTTTTCACCCTCATAATAATTGCTTCAGTTACACTTACCTCCTCTAATACTGTTGCTCTAATGATATTATTTTTCAAGTTAGGATCTTTTTAACTGCTAGGCTTATCTGGTGTCAGAACCTACATATTATATATCCTCTATATAATCTTTAATGGTAATTTCATATTGATTTAAGTGAAGTTTTTCCAGCCTAATAAAAATAAGCATATTAGTTGAAATGTTTTGAAATCAAAGAAGCAGATACTTGTGCTAAATGTGATGCACTTATGTGCATATTATTTTCCCAAATCATGGTTTATATTGTAGACATGGTTTTTACATACACAGAGTAATAGTGTATTAATTAATATATTCAAAATAAACCAACAGTTTCCTTTAGTTGCATAGATTGTATTACTGCTCAAGTATTCAGCTTTAGAAGTTTGCGCTACTAACAGTGCAGTTGAGTCACATAAAGACTATTTTGTAACTATGGCTATAAAATCCAGTCTTGCTAACAATGCAGTGGAAGCTCTTTTGGTTTGGTACAAAATTAAATTCTTTTGAAAAGGTACTATCCTTGATACCCACGAAGAAAGGAGACAAAAAATTAAACAACTCTTCTGACACACTCTAATGAGGATTAGTCACTTTGAACATGATTGAATGATAGCTAGTACTTCAAGGGGAAAAATATTCAATTTTTTTGGCTCATATAGTTTGTTAGATTTCAGATGTTATTCTCAGAGCAAGTATGTTTATCAATTTCAGAATGATTCTAATTTAGATTTTAGGGCAGACAGATTTTTTTTGTGACTTGAATACAGTTGAACTTGTACTCTCCTTCCTTTGACAAGAACCTTACTCAAGGATTTGAACATTTATTGATTACTTAGTTTTCTGCAGTCTAATGAATGAATTAATTAAATTAATTAGTTGAATTAATGAACACATTTAACTAATTAAAATTACTTCTAACACATTACAGCTTTCTGGTGAGATTACTTTGCTTGCCAAATATGTATCAAGACCTATTTTATCCAAATCATCTTCAGCTCAGCAGACAGGAATATGATCTGGAAAAATCTGTCTTTCATTTTCTTTTGTTAATAAAGCATACTCAGTGTGGGTTAGTGCTGTCTGTATTTGCCTCTTTTTATTTCCTCTTTGTTAATACAAACCCATTTATCAGTCCTCATGCTTGATCAGCTAAGGCATCACCCAGTATTCTCATTTATTTCCTCCATTCCTCTTGATGACTACAAGCCTTGCAGATACCAAAAATAGTTTGTTGATGACTCCATCTGTACTTTCACTAGTAATTTACAAATCAAGTAGGCAACTTACTTATGGTGCATTGATTTATACTTGAAGTTTGTATAATAGTTTTAGCTATGATTAATTTAAAAGGAATTCTCCTATGAGCTTATGGCATCTTTCTGGTACCTATTTATCATCATTTGCTTCAAATAAGAGGTGGAGCTAATCTTGGAAAGAGCTTTGCATGTTTTCTGCAAGGAAGATGAACACCACCCCAGCTGAAAATGCTGACTCATCTGTGTCTTATTTCTCTTTAATTTAAACTCAGCACAAAGCAGCAAGAGAGCTAAATCTTATCTTTAGAGGAGCAAATTAAAATTATTGCTTGAACAAGCCTTTGTAAACTACAGGGTTGAGTGAGGAAAAATGTTTTAAAAGTAAGAGATTGGAGTAGATTTTCACAGAACACAGGTGCAGAGATTTTTGTAGTGGCTTGAGGGATACACTGGTTTTGTTTGTCAAAAAGCAGCAAAGCTGAAAAATTGCCAGTAACTCCTTTGAGGTATTGACGTGGCAGTGGAATGGGGAAGCAGGGTGATTTACACCTTGGAATCTGAGAACCCTTCTGCAGTTTGAGACATTTTTGTCTTTTAAGATGTTGGGTTGTTAGCACATACCTGCACCTCTACCTAGTTCAAGTGGCATCAATGGACTTGGCATCAATTTCTGCCCTTGTAGCCTTGGCAAATTTTCTTTTGGTGATTTTTTCTGGGACAAGACCAGTCTGTCACTTCTGAATGCTTGTTGCCTTGAAAGCAGTAAGACTTTTCATCAGCAATAAAATCCAGATTTCACTCAAATGTGTAAGCGATGTTTTCTTGCAATAAATTTGTTCTGTAGTTCTTGTTGGCTTTTTTCCCCCCATACTATTGACATTTAATTAACATAGCACAGATTATCTCTTAGTAAATATGCAGCATGTTTATAAAAGCTAAACTGTCTTCCTGGTATGTTTCACTGAGTGGTAAAATTAATGGTTTTTATTTGTTCAGATGGTTCTTTGGCCCAATCAAACGAGCAGATGCTGAGAGACAACTGTTGTACCCTGAAAACAAGGAAGGAGCCTTCCTAATCCGAGAAAGTGAAAGTCTAAAAAGCGAATACTCACTCTCAGGTATATTCTAGTTTTTCATCTGAAGCAATATTTTAAAAATTTTTCAGGTGGTCTGGGCTTTTTCATTTTCCAGAGCAATAAACTGTGGGTATGAAAATGAAATTAAGTTCATAATAATGTGGGGGGTTTTCTTCTCAGGAGGTACATAAAGAAAACTTGGCAAAAGTAATTTGAGTTTATATTTTATAGACTTTGTTTATCAATATACTCAGAACAGAAATTAACTTTTTTATGCTTAGTACTTCCAGTGTTCTAGCTGCCTTAATATATTTTCATGACCAAAGCATAAATAATTACATTAAAATTGTACACTACAGCTCTGACTACACAAAACAAAGATAAAAATAAAAGCATGTTGACAGATATCTTCAATTCAAGAAAAGGAGATTTCTGTTAGAGCTCACACTTAGGTTTGTCTTTATTTGTTTTCAGGGATAAAATTGTAGGAAGGTCTTCAAAGCTGTACTTTAGAATCAGTGATATTTCATTGAAAATTTCACTGTAAATGTCAGCAAAAAATTAGATTGATTATAATTTTGAAATTTATTTAAGTTCTTTATTTGAATCTGAATTATTATCAAATTAGGACACATTCATTAATAATTTTACTCACATTTAAGTACATCATGTTTTTTCATGCTGTACATATTTGCCATTTTGGATAGTAAACCTGATTGCTCATTGGTTGTTTTCTGTGAACACTTCCCATCAAACTTGTCACACAACTGCAAGTCACGACTATAGTGTTGTACTTGAGACAACAGGGCTATACACCCAAACTTCCTAATATATTCTACCTATACTAATTCCAGAGCCAGGAAAGGTTTTTGATGTTTGTGAAAAAGCCATGAGTAGTCATGTGCAGAATTATGTAAGTGAAATGAGAAGCACCTTGTCCATAACCAGATTCTTTCATATTGACTCCTCTTTTGCCTGGATGATTACGTGTCACTCACCTTCTGAACATACACAGAAACACAGCTTAAGGTTGTGAAGAAACATGTTCTTGTTTCACTTTCCCAATTATAACTAGAGCGTATGTACCTGCAGTGTCTTGTGGTAATGTGAGTAATATTTTTTATTGCCAAGACAAAGAAATGTGAAATATAGGGATGTTTATTGAAATAAATGTGATATTTACAGTACTGGGAGAGGTTACTCCACAGTTTTCAGTTTGCCCTTAAGGAAGCTGGTCCTTGCCATGAAGTGCTTAAAGGAAAACCACCTTTAGCAAGGAATCAGACTGCTCCTGAGCTGTGACAGAACTGGCCCCTTTGTGTGCGCACACTTTTGTCCAAGGACTGTATTACAGCCACAGACATTTCAAAATGCTTTCTCTACATGTGCCAAGTTATTGCTGTGTTACATGTTTCAGCTTCCTGCAAGTTCATCAGTGCACTCATTTTATCCAAGAACTGGGCTAAACTGGTGACAGGATGGTGTTATGCATGGAAGGAAAGACAAGCGTGTATTATCTTCTTAATGATGGCATGTAAATATTACTAAACATCAATGAAAAATCTTTCTTTTGTGCACCTGGGGGTGGAAATGCAAATTATTTTATTATTCTCTCTCCTTTTAGGAAAAAATTAAAATATTATTTATTTATCCTGCACGCTGACCACTTCTCTAACAGGAAAATAGAAGTATCTTAGGTAAACTAGAGAAAAAACCAAGACAATGAAAATAAATATTAGGCCAGCATTTGCAGTGGTATAAAATCATCATTTGATGCTGCTGTTTAGTTTTTTTGTTACAGATTTTGGATAGAAAATTTATTCCATCTGATCTAGTATATTTGATTCAATTATGAAAGCTTGTGGTAGACATTTATTTACATTTTTTATAAGCTTATTTGGGAAGAGGAGACTTGATGATGAATGATAAGAGCAAGATATGAAACCAACAGTGTGGGTTTGTTTCATGGTGGTTTGTTTAATTAAGGAAGATGTGCGGCACTGAAGAAAGTAATACACAGAGAGGCAAGGCTCCAGCTGCAGGAGCCAGCTCTCCTTCATGCACAAACATGGGTTATACTCTGAAAATGCATGCATGGATATAATGTATCATCTCAGATTTATTAAATGTTTGTGCTCTTTTAGGCAAAGAAATAGGATAAACTGAAGCGATCTGTAGATGCTATTAGTGGCATCCTTTCCCAGTGCTGCTGTATTCTTTAGCAGCTTCCCAGAGTTGAACATAATTTATCCTTAACATGTTACTTCATCCCAAAGAGCTAAATATTATTTGCTGCTTACTGAATCAGCTTAGCTGGATGGCATCTGTTTGTATTTTGCTGCCAACCTAATAGTACACATCACGGTCTAGATGTTTTATGTCCATAATCTCATTTCTTACTTTTCTTGGAAAGCTTGTGCATTCTAAAGCAAACAATTAAATAGTTTGTATAGCGGGAAGCATTAGTAGGAAAGAAGGTAGTTCAGTTCACCAGGTTTTGTGGAGAAGAGAGTTTTCCTGAATCTTTCCTGTTTGTGCCATCGGTAGGAATTATGATACACCAAAGCTGAGTCGGAAGGATGGCTTCTCTCCATGGCAGCTGATACACGAATGGGAGAAGTCACACCCAATATTTTGGAATAGGTCCCTAATTTCTGTTTCCAAATTTTCAGTCCAGAAACATTAGACTTCAAAAGTCCCATCGTCTGTAGGTCTGATTGGTTTTGCTCTAGCTTTTATTGCAATTTTGGTTTCATTGCAGAGTGGATGATAATGTCTTGAGGAGAAAATCTGGCTTTCAGAATTAAGGTCTTTAAGAAAATATTTTAATTCTGCATCCCACATGACATTTAGGTAAAAAAAGAAGCTGAAGAGGAAGATTTTTTTATTTTACCCAAGAACCCATAAACTGATTTTATCACTTTTGTGCTTGATTTCATACTCATATAGACAATGAGATATATGAGATTTAATGTTAATGGAGACAAGTGATCTCCTTAGTAAAAAAAAAAAAAAAAGAAAAATTAAAAAATTCAATCTTTCATGAAAATTACACTTTTAACCTCTAACTTGTCTTGTTAGGAAACTCTCAATTTGTAAGATTTGGATAATAAATAATTATTAAATTAAAAACAAAAATTCATTTTCAGAAAGGTTTTTTTCATCTGTGGATAGTGAAATGGAAAGCTCATCAAGCCAGATAGGCCCCTGACATGTGTTACTATAAATTTAGGGTGTTTGACATTTTAGAAATAGGTTTTCCCATTTTAAAAATGCACATGTTGCCGACAGATTTTTATGTTGATGACTCCAGCATCTGGTGTGAAATGCATTAAATTTTAAACATGTTGGTGCCATCTTAGATGTTGCCTCATTTTAATTAAAAGCCATAATTTAGATGTGCTCAGCTTAATTGAGTGTCATTGCCAATGATAGCAGCAGGCTCTGTACTTAGTCCATCACTGAATAATGGTATCTAAAAGAAAAGACTTATTGCATTAAATAACAATGTAAATGGTTTGTGTTTTCTTCACCTATTTTTTCCATGCTCCTAAAAGAATGTTGTGTGTTTTCCTCTTGGGTTCCAGCATAGGAAAAACAGGTAGTTGTTTAAGGCAGCAGACTCATAGAACTGGCAAAATCATGGCCATACTAAGAGGATGATTTTGGATCTGCCTCTGTACCCGTTCTGTGCTGGTGAGAGTGATCTCATGAGACCCTCCTCCCACATCCACTCTGGGCATGGAGGCAGAGCAGTGGTGCTGTTGGCAGTGCTCCATGCTGAGTGCTGGGGGAGGGCATTCCCAGGAGCTGTGTTGGGACACATCGTTTTTGGCAGTAATGGAACATTAGTGTCTCCATGACTCATTTAGTGAAGGTGTGGACTCTGCTGATGTCACCATAAATTTTTGTGCCCTGAGGAAAGAGTAGTAAATTATTTTATTCACATTCTTCAGGTGGCAAAATCTACTTCTGCTTAATCCATCATGTGAAGACGGATAGCTGGGAGAGGATAATCCTTCTGCTAGACTAAAACCATGTAGAAATCTAATGGGGAGCTGTAATTCTTTTGCAAAGGGCAAGTTGAGGAGAAAACCTCTGCAGTCTTCAAACCAAGTTACTGTCAAGCCGTGTGAGACTGAAATTACAATCCTGTCCTGGTTAGTAGTCTGACATGGATGTAAAGATGACTGGAAGGGGTTATGGATAGTTCTTTCCTGAGTGATATGTGCTCTGTATAATTCTGGCAGAGGAGTCACACTATGCTGCAGAACTCCAAGTGTGTGCTGCAGGACTTGTACAGCCAAACTCAGCCCTAAAATAAAAGTAAACAACTGTCAAATACTGCACTAGTCTCAGCTTAATATACTTATTACAAGATGAGACAGTATCAGTGCAGAAATCTTCTCCAGCTTCTCCACACAATTCACCTGCTGACCTGCATGCTGTCAATCATAAGGCCTTGTAAAAGACTCATTTAAGAAATTAGAGCACATCCTTCAAACCAGCTCTTGCATTATTAATGCTAGCTACTTCACAAATAATAGTTAAAATACTGCTAATAAATAAATCAGATAGTCAAACTACCATTACTTGTGATATATAACTGAGACTGGATTAACACAGTCATCCTGTCAGCCTTTTGTTCAATGCATCATAAAGACTAATTTATTTGTCTGGATTAATTTTCCTGTAAACTTTGGAAAAGTCATTAAATTTTCAGTCTGTTTTTACTGAATTACTCTTTCCTTCATTTTGCTTCAGCACCATTTCCAAAGGACACATCACAAAAACATCCATAAATTTTACAGTTAAAAAGTAGTAATTATGGGTGTTAATTCAAAAAGAAATATAATTTGAAAAGTGCAACGTAATATGGATTTTGTTTACAAACATTCTCATTCCTGTCCTCATGCAGAATTATAAATTCTCAGATTCCTAAAAATACTACCTGAGGTGGAATATTTTGAAAAGCTCCTGTCTGCTCTCTGGTGGTCTTGGATGACAATCACACGGTACAGTGCAAAAATATTTGATCACCCACAATAGTGCTTAAGGAAGGAGAGATTTCCTCTTTGATTTCACCACTTAGATGGTGAGAGAATTGATTCTTCCTATCAGCTTTGCTTATTTCATGCAACCAGTTCTATATTTTTTCTACATACAATATCCAACCATGTGTTCTTCTGTTATTATAACCAAAGCTATTGCCAAGATGCACACAGTGGTACAGTATAAAGAATCTGTCTTCTAGGTTTATTGTGGAATACTGTTAATGTTAGAGCTAACAGCTGTGGACTTCTTTGGAGCTGAATCAGTTACCCTTCTGTGTGTAATATAAACTCTCTACTGCCCACTGAACATGGACAGTGTTGTCTAAATAATGGAGGGTCTAGGAAATTACACCCACATAAATACCTTTTCAGCTCTTCTGAACTGTCCTCTCTGATGATTCTGAGCCTGCTATTGCTTCTACTGATATTCCTTTGTAAAGATCTCTAAACTAGTGGTCTCCAAACGTTTTTTTTATCTATGTGTGTCTTTGTGTGTGTGTGATTTATATACATTTTTTGTCTCTCTCTGATCTTGTGCTGGTCCATGTCTAGCCTCAGCATGCAGTGGCCCAGCCTTTTTTTTGACGCATCTAAAGAGTGCTCCAATGGTCACAGGGAGGGACACTTTGGCTGTCATTATAAGCAGATAATTTACAGGAGGTGAGGAATAGTCTTATTGATTAAGACACAACAGATTAGAACAAAAAACATTCCACTGAAAAGGAATTAATCAACTACCTGAAACACAGCATTATTCACCTGATTTTTACATATTCCAAACATGCACAAAATTAAAAAAAAAACCCTTGGAAGACGTGAGCACTTTTCGAGAGCCATTGCTATGTGGAGGGTGTATCTGTTTCCTCTAAAATGCCTGCCAGCCCAGCAGCTGCTATTTGGAATGTTAACACTAAAATAAAGGAGGATAAAGAAAATATTAAAAACTGACTAAATGATTGCTGTCAGTTAAATGCTTTTGGCTGGCTTTGGTGTCTTCAAACACGGGAATCATGAGCTGCCTCACAGAAGATATATTTATGTACTTCTACATCAGTCCTTTTGGTGGAGAATCTCCAAATCTGAATAGCTGAGTAGTGATAGACAAGATGTGTTAAGCTATGTGAACAATGGGCTTTGGTTTGAAGAAGGCTTTTTTATAGTTGTTGTATTTGGAACTAAAATAATTTATTTTAAATATAAATATATAAATATATTTAGGAACATTATGATGGTTTGGGTGTAAATGATATTGCAACACTTCAATAATTCCTGGACAATTAATATATTTAAATATTTTTAGTTTTTGATGGCACATCTGTGAAGCACTACAGGATCAAAAGGATGGATGGAAGCTTTTTCCTAACCAAAAGGAAAACTTTTCAAACTTTGAATATGTTGGTTGACTATTACAGCAAGAACAGTGATGGCCTCTGTGTGTTGCTTGGACAGCCATGCCTAAAGGTAAGGCATGGATGCTGCCCTGTGAAAAGTATTTTTTGTGAGCCAGCTCATTAGATATCTGTCAGAAAGTGTTGACCCCATATCTGCTTCTACTATTTCAGAATGTTAATGATCTGCATGTTTTCAGAAAGTTCTGGGTAGTGTTACAGTTTTGTTCTTGAGGTTGACAAATTAATAATAAAGTACCATGCCATCTTGAAAAAAATCATCAAGTGTTTGGGGGTGGGGGAAATATGCCAAATCATGATTTATGAATACCTTTTTATAAATATATATGGAAATGAAATCTCCAACTTCATAACTCTAGCTGTCCATATGTAATTACTAAGACAAAACCACAAGGTTCTGGCAACCAATATGTTATTGTTCAAAAAGCTTGCTAGAGGAATTATTTCTAATTTTTACTTTTAATGGGAGGATATTTTCTTTAGCATATTTCTTATTTGTAACAAAGAGCACCCAGTATGAGCGTTGTATTTTATGTTCTTGGCTCACTTTATTGCATGTGTATACTCTAAGGAAACATTATTTATATCTGTTCCAGCTTTACATGAAATAGTTAACAATGATTTGTATATGTTGTTGAAGTTTATTATTTATTTTCTTTTATGAGATACAAACTCCTGCTACTTTTGATTTGTCTTACAAAACTGTTGATCAGTGGGAGATAGACCGACGATCTCTGAAATTGGTGAAAAAATTAGGATCTGGTCAGTTTGGTGAAGTATGGGAAGGACTGTGGAATAATACCACCCCCGTGGCAATCAAAACATTAAAACCAGGTATGTGAATTATTCTTAAATGCTAATGAGCTATTAGCAAGAGTGGTTCTTTACTTTTTAAATGCTGCAGCAAACAGAGTCTATCTGTATATATGAATTCATTCTTAAAATCCATACACCTAGACATGAAGGTCTAGGTCTAGATAGTCTTTGGAATTTTGAATTAGAATTTTATACATTTTTCTGTTTCTAGATGAGCTGAATTAATTCAACATCTGTATCACATAAAAGGGCAACCACAACAAGAGTTGTACCTATTTTTTACAGTATTGTTTGTGTGGAAATGAGTAACTGTAGATTGAATAATCTGTAGGTGAAGTAATTGATTTACAAGCACTTTGTCATCTGTAGGGTTTTTCTAGTGATTGGTGCTATACTGCAGTGATTTCTTTGGTAATATAGAATATTTACTATGCTAAGTTTGTACTTAAGGAGTGTTTTAATCTTAGTATTGCCTGAATCAAATTTTTTGAAGTTTTTGATACACGACATTTATACCCACTATTTGCATGTAATATAAGATTGTAACTAATACAGCTTTTAGCATTTTTCTTAATTATGTTTCATTAACTTCAAGTAATTTGTGCATTTTCAATTGACAACATAAAATATCTGCCAGCAGATGGCAAGAACCACATAGATAAGAGAGGCAGCCTGGATGATATACATGTTTTTTAAAAAGAGATAACAACATGAGCTGTGGTTAATTGAAAAAGCTTGTGTTGGGCACTAATGAGCCTGATTCAAGAAGCAGAACAGATTCAGGCCTTTGATTCAATAAAACGTCAATATGCTTGAGCACTGCTTGAATGGTCTCCTGAACAGGGAGGAATTTAAGCATATGTTTTAAGGCTCTCTTGTATTGGGATATCTTTCGTGGTTTGGGACATGCAAACGGAAAGAAAATAAACACCTTTTTTTTTTTTTCTGCTTAACTGAAAATATAAAAACTGTTCAGACTAAAGACCTTCTATAATTCATATGAAAGACAATACTTTTTTCAGTGAACCGGTGCATCTCCCTAGTGACTCAGCAAACAGAAACCAGCTTGAAATCTCTTTTTCACTGGAATAAACATAAGACTCACTGCAAAATTGTTATCATGTATGGACTACCACAGTATAATGGAAGAAACTCCTTCTACTGTGATTCTTTTTGTAGTATCATAGTTCACCTGGGAAAAGGGGTCGATTAATCAATATTTTTTCTATCTCATTTTTTCCCTCTCTAGTCTGACTCTTGCTAAGGTCAACAGCAGTAGTTTCACTGATTGCATGCTGGGTTGTATTGAGTTAGGGCAGACAGAAGCTCCACCTGGATGCAGTGCTTGGATATCAGAGAGTTGGTGACCTAACACTGAGATAAGGAAGCTGTGAGTCGCACAGAGTGTTGCTCAGAATGAAGACTTTGATTCCCAAAGGCACCTTGATAAATTATGTAGTTAATGTTGAATCTCTTATCACTGTACTTTGTGAACTATCTCATTCTACAAAAACAGTTCAAGCAGTCACAAATGTAAGCAATTAACCTTGTAGTATCACTTCTTCAGGGAATTATCCTCTTCTATACATTGTTTTTCACTGTATAGTGAAAGGCATTTGGAGTGCCTTACAGTAATCAGCACAATGGTTTTCCATAGCTTATTCTCATTGTTACTCATGAGGAATAACAATTCACTAGTTAAAGACAAACCACAATACCCTCACCCTAATCTGAGTAATAAATGTTTACCTTGGTACTAATAAAATTTCAGCAAAGGGAAGGGTTGGTATCTTCATTCACCATAACATAAAGTTGACAAATGAATGGAAAATATAATATATAATATAGTTAATGAGTAATCAAGAAATACATTGGGTTGATCACTGAAGCTTCCAATATTCACATAAGCAATGTTTCAGGTTTCAAGTGTAACACACTGTAAAATACGCCTCTCTGTTTCTTGGCTCAAAGACCTAAATCTCTTGTCTTTACACTGGGGCAGGAGAGGGTGTATTTTAAACTACAGACTTTTCACTACACTGTTTTACAGTGTAGACTCTCTGGACAAGCAAGTCATCAGAAAAACAGAGGAATGTGTTAAACTCAAAGTGATCTGGCAAATACAAGGGGCTGAAATGGAAAAGGTTCTGCTAAAAAGGCTTTGCCAGCAGAGAAATTGTGAAATGGAACAATGCTCTTATTACCAAGCAGAAGCAGGTTGATCAAGGGTAATCATATGGTGAACAATAGAGAAGAGTATAATGTAATCAGAATGTCATAGATTTATAGACCTTAAGGCCAGAAAGGAATTCTGTTACTTTGGGTTTTTCTGTTGAACATTATTTTGCAGTGTACATCTGTTCTAGACCACATATAGTCAGAATAATTTGCTGTTATATGTCATTACACATCGTCCCTCTGCTGAAATTAGCATTTATATTTAATCAAAACACAGCTTGTTCTTGACTACACAATAATGAGAAGTCCTCTAGTCCTAAGATGAAGGCACTGTAAGAATCTGCACCTAATTTCACATTTGAATTTGCCTGATGTCTTCTCTTTAACCCTTGCTATGTCTTCTTGTAATAAAATAAAAGCCAATTTGAATGTATTAATTGTTCTTTCCATTCTGGAGGTAAACACAGCGTGGGTTAAACCAATTTTCCGTTGTCTTTAGAAAGGCTAAATGCAGTTTCTTGTTATATAGTGTCCTTCTCATTTCTCAAACAATTTTTTTTCTGGACTTAAACTAATCTCTAGCTATTGCTACTAAAAGGCTTAAAAACAGTGATGCCAATGGCATCCTGGTCTGTGTCAGCAATAGTGTGGCCAGGGGGATGAGGGCAGTGATTGTCCCTCTGTGCTCAGTGCTGGTGAGGCCACACCTCAGATCCTGTGTCCAGAAAAAGAATTCCCCACTTCAAAAACAAAACACCATAATCACAAAACCAAAGTCAACAATTTGCACACAATCCGCCTCTTGTCCCTCCAGCACAATTACAGCTGAAATTCCCTGAGGTCATTCCACTCTTTGCTCTCAAATATCATTGTCAATGTCTTACCCATTACCTCTCCTTATTCCTTTTACAATGTGTTGATCAGTGTGACTGTAAACAGAAAGTGGTAGTAATGTGATGCTTTTGCTTGCATAATTCTCTTATTTGTTCACTGGTTCACTTGTCTCTGTTTTGGAGACATCTGTGACATTTTACCAGCCACAACCATAGCCATGAATGTGTGAATGAAAAAACAAAACATGAGAACATCTTTGCCTTAAGGAACATTTCTGATTTTTGAGCTGCTGACCCATAGTTTTCAAAGAGGTACAGGGATCAGTAGATAGGAAAACAGTCTAGAAACCAGCAGTTGCTATTTCTGGTTTTGGCTCTGCACAGCACAGTCTTGATGCAGGTCCCTGAACATGTCATTCCACATTTTTGTTTTTATTTCCTCACTGAGACACTGGATTTTTCTATTTAAGTGGAAATCATTGCAGCAGGGATTTGCACTTTGTCCTGTGTTGAGTGTGATGGATTTTCTAGAACCTATTGTCTGGGCTAGCTTGCTTCTCCAGCTGTCAGCATGTGAAGCAGACATCTATCATCACCAATTAATTGTATCTGATAAAGTTCCTTATGTCTGTTGGAGTTGACGCATACATTTGTCATTATCACATTCTAAAGCATCTCCCAAGTTTCTCTCTGCATGGAAACTGTCCAAGCATGATTTTTTTTTTCATGAGGCTTTTCCAAAATATTGTCTGGGTTGGTACTGTCAGTGAAGTTTTTCATAACATTTTAATTTCTCTAATTTCTCATATCTTTAATACATATGCAGTATAAAAAGCTTTGCACTCAGGGAAGTACCTCAGTTTGCCTTAAAAAGAAAGATTTTTTTTATTCCATTTAATTCAGAATGCAGCCTTGCACTGACTTATAAGTTTATTTCTACATGGTGACAAAGGTGCTTGAGAATGTTCAGAAACTTACATTATTCATCTGTTAATATCAATAGGCTATTTTAGTTTCTTGTGTTGCAAAATGCTTAGTTTTTAAGTGTTATTTCTTTATTACTCATAAACTTCTTCAGAAGATCATAGTTATATACTTAATGCCGTCTCCACCTAAATTAATTTTCTATAAACTTTACTTAGAAGACTAGGTTCGTCTGAAGTACAAGGGTATTTTGAAGCAATTTGGGAAGGCTTATTGAAAAGTTGCAAACAAAGGGTCTTGTGATGGGTTTATCAAATATTTAAGGGCCATTTACATGTAGGCCAGTGGAATCTGGAAAACAACTGACCTTCCCCTCTAACTCGTTTCCAGGTTATCAGTGTTTATCTTAGAATGTAATGCTTCCTCCAATCTAGAACAAAATATATTCAAAGAGAAGTTAATCAGAATTGATATATCTGTTTTAAATAGGCATAAGTTAGAGGTGATTCCTGGCAAAGTAGCACAATACAGAACATGTCAAAGAAAGAGATTCCAACATTTTGTTCTGAAGAATGACTTTGACATTTAGAAGAACACTTTTCATTCAAAAAACAGATTATCAAGACCATATTTTCTTGAGGTCCTGATAAATTCACTCCCAAACTGGTATCTTACCCAAAAGGAACGTCCACTTGTTTCAATAAAAGCTTATGTTAACTAATTGTTTTATGACCAAGTTGTTTCTACTTACAGTAACCTGCTCTTTGTCTTGTGTTTACCACTTATAGGTGAAAATATATATTTCATTAAAAACATACATATTCAACTACAAGCTAAAATGCCCTCAGTTATTTGAAACTCCATTTGGCATGTGTTTCCTACCCCAAAGGGATGTACTGTAAATTCTTTGCCACTATTGTGACAGGCTTTATCCAACTAATTTGTAACAAGCGTGTTTGGTTGCTTTTAGAGGCAGTTTTTAATTTGCTTATTCAGTTGCTGAAACATAATCTTAGGCAGAACACTCATAAAGACACTTTTAATTTTTTTTCATTTGGCATCCAATCTTCTTTTGAAGTGCAATATAAGACCTACAGGCCTGTGGGGGATTGGGGTGCTGTCTGCTACTCGTACTATTTAAAGATATAAACTAAGTAAAACTGAAGGTTACATATGCTCTGTAAAACATGCAGGAAATACTTATTGATCTTTTTCTGGTTTGTTATCATTATTGTCACTGTTATTTGCTTTTACAGTGTAGAAAAAGATTTGCAGCTATTCAGCTAATGGAACAGTTCTTTCTTGATCAATTTATTGAAAGTTGTCATATCTGAAAAGCATGTTGTTTGGTTTCAGTTTGTTGGGAGAAGTTTATAGCATGATTAAACTGAGAAATTCCTTGTAGGCAAACTTTGATGGCGGGAACAAATCAGACTGTCAAATTCTATGGTGCGAAGAAATCCTGTATAGAGACCCATAGAGGGTCCATGATTTGGTAGGCCCTAAGTGAGCAAGTAGTTCATCCTTTTTAGAATCAACTTGTCAAATTTTGGCACTGATGCTAAATTATTAGTCATGCTGATGCGTTTGCTTTTGGAGGCAGAATGCTTCACACCATGCAGCTTCTCTGTAGATTTTAGGTTGATTTTCATGATAATGCATGTATCTTGAAACAAGTAAGTAAATGGGGCAAAATTTTAAATCAATATCAAAATGAGTTCAAACCCTATAAAGACAACCCATGACTCTTAAATTATTTTTTTAATCTAGAATTGATGGAAAGTTTGAATAAATCTGTAAAGATTGTGCTGTTCTAAACAAGAAAAGGATATAGAATAAGCATCACAGATATTTTGGGTTTTTTCCCTGTCATAATCTCTGCTTTATCCAGACCAGGTGTGGTCATTTCCTCTTTGTGCAGGCCCCCACTTTCCTGACAGTGAGTAAAGAAAATGAGTATAGCTTGGACCTGTTGAGGAGATGTATTATTGGCTGCTTGCCATTTATTGATGGAAATCCAAATACTTTGACCATGCCACCTAATGACATCCTATAAATTCTCACCAAATTGGTCAATATGGGATTGCCAATGGAAGTATGAGCAAACGGAAGTGAGGAGCACCTGTTCCTTGCAATGTAATCTTTGCTCTCCCAAGTAGCAATGTCAAGTGGCTCTTTTTTCATAAAGTCTGTGTCAGAAGCATTTCTGAATCATTCCTCTTGTATTGATGCGAGGATAAGAAATCACACATCATTCCTATGTTTTGGGAAATAGGCTGGAGCATTTTTCAGGAGGTAGCATTCAAGGTAGGTGTTGGGTGAACAGGCTGATTTTCTAGTCCTTTTTGTAGAACAGATTATCGGTTGGAATTTTATTGCTGAGCCATTTAACATCCTCCAAGAGTTTAACTTAATTTAAGCATCAATGTTGGGAACAGAATCAAACTCCCAAATGAACCTTATACGTTACCTAATATAGAAAAACCCCATGAAGACTCCTACTCTTGCAGCCTTGGCTTCTCAAACTACTTAGTCTGTTTACTGAGTAAGATGAGTTTGTTTTTAAACATGGCATAGAGCGGAATAACTTGGATAACTAGATATTTTCCTCCTGAATCTTAACCGTAATATTTTCTTAATTAAAGTATTTTGATTTGTGAGGAAGGAGATATTTGAGTAAGTGAATAATTTCAAATTTGCTTGCACAGGCATTTTGAGGGAGATATTATTCACCAACTTCCTCAAACATCTGACAATATCTGATGACTACTGGATCATTCATCTAGAAGGCTTTGATTCTTCATTTGTTCATGTTTTCCTAATCAATCCCCTATTCAGGACATATGATCTTTAATCCCACATTTGCCATGACTTTAGCTTCCTGTGCCATTTCTGACTGATTCTTTGACATAGTTTCTGCATTGGTTCACTATATATATATATATATGAATAGAACTAGAGATGTTATGATCTTATGTAACACTTAAAAAGTTGGCATCATTTGCTGTTAAGACACTTTGGTATTTAAGGGATTGTAAAGTTAATGTTACATCTGTGCATACATTGGTATTTCTGATAGGGTTGCTATTGCATGATCATTAAAAATAGCTATTTGTTTTTGTATATATAAAATGCACACATCATCTCTGCATATGCTAAACTGATTTCAGTGCTTTCAGGCTTTAATTGGTGAAGCTGAAAATATAGTGCAACAAATTTTTATTGCAGAACTAGTTTTCTCTCAGAAATTTTATGTTCATTGCCTAGACACTCTCACCTCAGTTTCTGATCCTTTCGTTAACCAGTTGTTTGTTTAAAATGTATCCCTTAACATTCTAGCCTCACTTTTTTTCCTGTTTGGGGGAGTCCTGGGGGTGGTTGATTTTAGCCTTTATATTTCTGGTGGCTGGTACACATATGTTCTCTGTCCCTACATAACTGGCATGTTTCACTCATTAAATGTTTGTTTCAGCTGCACTGTCTATTTTCTGTGGGAACTGTGAAGATTTGAGATGTTAATGTACTTTCAAAGACAGAAAACAATATCAGTTTCTCCCTTAAGATTTCTGGTAGAAAGCCCTTTAATAACCTCAGTTTTGTTATATGCTGTTGTTTCAGGTTCAATGGATCCAAAAGACTTTCTGAGGGAAGCACAAATAATGAAGAACTTGAGACATCCAAAGCTTATACAGCTTTATGCTGTCTGCACTTTGGAGGATCCAATTTATATTATTACTGAGCTGATGAGATATGGAAGTCTTCTAGAATACCTTAAAAGTAAGCAAATTACTCTAACCTCATTTTAAGGATGCTGCAGTTTAGTAAATACACTAACATAAAAGACAGAGGTACAACACCCTGGTTTAATGTAAAAGCTGCATTATTTGCCATGTGTGGGGGTGAGAAAAGCAGAAAGGTTTATGAATTTTTGACAACTGAAATATTTAAAAAGTAGGAAAGAATCACATCCACAGTCTGATTCTTGCCTTATAATGGCCCATATTTTTTCATCCAGTTTTAGGAGTAGATGGGAACATACACAAAGGAATAAAAATATAAGTATCCAGAAGGATAGGTCATCATATTTGACATGAAATAGAAGCACTTCCACAAAATGTACTTAACAGCTTTGAAAACTATTACTAGTCAGGGATAGCTTTTCACTACAGATTTGTTCCTTGCCTATCTCATCAGGGCTTTTATCTCAGCAGCACTTCAAAGTGCTCTTTTGAAGGCAAATAATAATTAAAAATAAAATGGTACAGCCTGGAACAGACTAGCATAATGATTGCACTTTTAAGTTCACTCCTGTTATTGGGAAATGCTTGATTCTAGTGTTGTTACCCATTTTCAGTTTAGCAGATGTCTGTGAGATGCTAAATGTCTTTAAAGCTGTAATGATTTCTTGAAGACAAAATGTTTGCCATGGTTGTCATGCTGAATTTCTTCTCTGTTTACAGCCCATAAAGCAAAGCCCTGTGTAATGCCACAGACACATGCCTTCCCCCATCTTTTCTGCAGAACCTTTTTTAAATGAGGGTCTATCCATGCACAATTACAGCTAAAGAAATCTCTGACACAGAGACAGCCCTACCAGGAACTGCCCAGAGTGGGTCTGCCATGACCTTGGGCCACATCATCCACAGTTTTGTAGGCATTTGCTGGCCAGAGGTAACAAGGCACAAATTTCCTTCAAATTCTCGTCTTTGGTACCTTTGTGTGCAGATTGCAGCTTATATGATTGAAAGAGCCTGGCATCTCAGGAAATGATTGCTGTGCATGGAAACATTTATTGCACTGGAGAAATATCTCCTGAGAAAGCCAGGATGAGTCACAGCTATTGCAGAGGTGAAAACTGGTCTGTTAATGTGCACAGAGTAAACATGTCCATAGCATATCAGTGCTGCAGCCTGTGTGTGGATCAGTTGCCAGCATTTGCACAGCACCCTGCTCCTTGCCTAAGTGCTCACTCCTGTAGCTTTTCATCAGAGGCCGTGGAAAGTCACCTGGTTTCCAGGCAGCCATCAAGATGTCTATAAAAATGTCCAGTTGAAACCCAGTCCAGTGGTATCCCTCCTTGTCTGATGACCGATGCACAGGGAGGTGCACAGAACTAAGAGGTGGAGACAGAGATCCAAGGGTTTTGATACATATTGTGGTCAGAGAAAAGTCATTGCTGTCAGTGAGACTAATAAGGAAAGAGATTTGAAATTTTTATAGAGCTCTGTGACTGGAAGTGATCTATATCAGTTGGAGTGCACAGCTCCTGGTAAGTTTTCTTGAGATTCAGCCTCTGCAGGAAACAGGAAAATATTTCCAGAAGGCTTCTGTCTCTGTGTGCACGATGGGTAAATAAAGCAAACTAGAGTGGAGAAAAGTCCAGAGATATTCTTTGTTCCTATTCCCCTCCAAGAACTATATGGTATGCTTTTCCAGCTTTAAAAGTCCCTAATATTTTATTCACAGTTACTATCACATTTCACCATAATGACAGCTACTTAATAATGATGGACATGGGAATTCCCTGTGCATGCTGTAAATGTACTTTGGGAGAGTTCTTGATGAGCACTGCTATGCAGAGTTATTGAGCTGCCACCAGTATGAGAAAAATGCACCTGAAAACTTTTCTTTGCTATTGGAAGTGAATGAAATTGTCATAAATGTATGAGTGCTTTTATCAATTCTGATGGGCCTGGGGCTTGTTCTGGCAGGTATGTAGTCTTGAAATTCAGTGAATTATTGTGGAGGCAATGCCCTCACTGGAGAAAGTGCTGCTTATTTATTTTTCTCTTTTTTTATTGTCAGATATCTGTCAATGAGAATATTTTCCTGTCTTTTCTATATGAGCGATTTTGATAGATTGCATAGAACAGGGTGCAGACCCCAAGACTTCTTTAATATTTTCTCTAATAAATTTTTCATGTAAGGTTGAGGGTTTTGTCAAAAAAATATTAGTAAAAAAGGACATGGAGGTGCCACATTTTCTCAATCAGTTAAAGAATAATCCATAGGATTATTTATAAATTTATAAATTCAGCAGTTGTGCCTGATTTTGAGTGTGGAAGTTATATAGACATATATATATAGCTATAGCTAGCTAGCTAGCTAGACATAAACTTAAAGCAGCATTCCAGTACCTAATGGGAGCCTACAGGACAGCTGGAGAGGGACTTTTTAAAAGGCCAGGTAGTGATAGGACAAGGTGGGATGGCTTTAAATTGAAAGATGGTAGGTTTAAATTAAGTAATTCTTAGAAATGCTTCACTGTGGTGAGGTACTGGGATATGAGGTACAGGGTGGCGAGGTACTGGGATACTTTGTCCAGAGAAGTTTTGCTTGAACTTGTGTGCTCTGAGTGGCCCAGCCTGGAGAAATCTTTATGAGACAGCCATACATGATTTACACCTCAGATCCCAAAGAGACCTGTGATTTCATCCTCTGTCTTTGTGCACAAGTTGTAGCTCCTGGTCAGCTGAGGCTCTTCATTAAAGCTTTCCCTTTCACTCCAGAACAACTGCAGTGCAGAACCAGCTTACAGAGAGATCATCCAAAAAATACTGCAGCAGCCAGGGCAACAGTGGCCTCTTCCCCTCCCTCAGCCCACAGGCTAGAGGCAGTAGGTTAGCCCAGTCTGGTATTCCAAACATGCCCTAATGAAATAAATGGTCTTTCAGGTGCCACTCCAGTGTTAGAGGTGGATCTTAAAATTGTCCTTCAGCATGGTGCACCTGAGTGTCTGCAGGGAATAAACCAGGGGGGTTTAGCAGTTCTAACTCCTGTTCTGCACTGAAGCTCTCATTAAACAGGAGGCTGATGAGTCACCCCTTTCTCCTTAAGGCATTGTCTTATTTTGTCTCTTGGAGCAAGCTTAAGTCAGGCTGTCCTGGAGCATCAGCAACCAGTGACAAACCTGTGATCAACTTTGTTGGTATCCTTGTCTGCTCTCACCAGCAGGTAGTTCACAACAAATGCAGATGAAGTTGTGTGAAAGAGAATATTTAAAGCTGGCTGACATAGGCTAACTTCCAAAACCCTAGTACTAATGCAAGGTGCTTGAAAACATTTAATTATTTTCCGATTAAATACACCATGAGCATCATTTCTGGATTTTATCTTTGTCTAACTAGATGAATAATAAACGTTGATGCCTGCCAGTTATCAGAACAGAAAATCTTCAAAATGTTGTATTATTCTGTGGACTGAGTGGATTTTCACACAGCTCAATTTTTGTACCTCTGTCTTTGAAAAGTCCAGGCAGTGTGAAACATATGTGTAGGAGAGGAAAAGACATTCTGAGTAAACAATAGAAGTAAATAATCTTAGTGTTGGAATTTTTAGCCTTAAAAATGACACATACAGGACAATTTTTTTTTCTTAATTATGTCAGAGCATGCAGATAAGCAGGAAATTCAGGGCCTGGGTTGCAGAATACATTAGTAAACAATGGCATTTCACATTCTTCATAAGGTGGGATGACAAAGTTCCATCAAATAAAATGCCAGAACTGGAGGAGGCTATTTAAAACAATGGTAAGAGGCTATTTAAAACAATGCTAAGATACACTATCACTGCAAATCAATTAAAAGTAAGTGAGAGAAAACTGCCAGCTACAAAAGTTTTATTTCTCTAACACAGAGGCAGTAAGTAAAAGTCACCAGTCTGATGACAAAGAACTGCCAATAAGCCTAGCAGCAAGGATTCAGCTTTTTTGATGTAAAGATTCTGAAACAAAGTTGAAATAGTTTTGGGTGTTAGAGGCTACAGAGGTAGAAAGCCATGCTTGAGTGATGCAGCATTTGGGATTGGGTGAAGTGGTCCTTGAATGTAACATTGATTTGGTTTACTATCAATTACCTTCTGGTGTAAATTCTTTGTGTTGAGAAGGTTGGTTAGTTGTCCCCAAAATGCCACAAAAGCCCTGAATTTGTACTCTAATGTGTTATATCCCAATTAATTTTTTATTTTTTTGGTTATCTGTCTTGCAATTTTTGGCTGCAGTTTTTCATGGCCTGAGCCTTTCCTTCATCTGTAGAGGCAAGTTGCTCAGCTCAAAGTTCATCTACTGCATTGTTTGAACGATGATCTTTGATTTCCAAATCTCAATTTCTGGAATTTGCTTATGTTAGTGTGGTGGGAATGACATGCACATTGCTTCAAAAAGTTCTACTGGAGAAGAAGGCAGTTTGAAAGCATCTCAAGGAGTCCTACTCTTGAGTAACAACAACAGAGATAACAGCGTGAAGCAGTCAAGTGGACTGGAAAGTGAAAATGAGTTATACTTGACAACAGAGGGTATTTTTCCTAGTCAGAATCATTGGAGAACAGGGAACAAAGATAATTCTGTGCTTTTCCTTCTTTAGTAAGCTCTGGCTACAACCACTGTGTACTGACATTAACTCTTACTCACAGTTTGGAACAGTTTTATGAACTATTTATGTCAGAAAGGTGCATACTGTGTTACTAATAGTAGATAAAATATTTTCTCTTTGGACTGTGTCAGCAGCTCATTCCTGGCCTAGATTAACTCCTGCATGTATTATCTACTCTTTTAGAGAAGATGGGACAAACACTGTTACTCAGTTATTGGGAAATAAGTAATGTCATTCAGTAATCCCTGTCATTTGGCTGGGCTGTTACTTTATTGTATTGCATGGTTTGGTTTATTTGTGTTGTCTTTTTGAACCAGGCTGGTTTTCAGTTATTTATGTCTGAAATCAACATTTTCTTGTTCTTATGTTCTTGTCATCTCCTTTTTAAACAGAAGATGGAGGCTCTCAAATCTCCCTGACACATCAAATAGACATGGCTGCTCAGGTGGCTTCTGGGATGGCATACCTTGAATCTCAGAACTATATCCATCGGGATCTGGCAGCCAGGAATGTTCTTGTTGGTGAGCACAATGTTTACAAAGTGGCAGACTTCGGACTTGCAAGAGTTTTTAAGGTAGGTTGTGAAAGGGTTAATTGTCCCTGCTCTTAACTCTGGAGAACAAGGTGCAGAAAGGCCAAGTAAAGAATGAATTGTAGCCCTGAACCGATGGATTGAGAAAAAGGCAAGCCCAGGGAGAAAAGGACCCATAACCTGTTCACTTGTACCTTCTACCTGCATTATCCCATGCAAGGTTAGAAGCTGTCCTGTGTTGTTGTGCCAATCTGAAGAATCCTGGGGTCTGCTTCCAACCCCGCCACCCAGGAAGGATCCTGGCAAGCAATACCCTTCACTGGACCATGTTGCAGTGTTTGTAACATGTTCCAGTGTTTGCAACATGGAGTGAAATGATGGAAAGATTGTACACCTGGGCCTGTAAAGGAAGGCACATAAAAATGTATTGACATACGTTCTCGACTTGTTCACTTCCCCTCTGCCTCTACAGTGCTTGTGATCACAGGTGGTGATCATAAAAGGACCTTATTCCTCTCCACAGCTAACAGCAAAGTTCATAAAGTGAGTTCTCAGGGCTTCAATTCTGATGCAGTTGCAAATTCTTTGCCACTGCACTGTTTTGTTTTTTTTTTCTCTAGTCCTTGAAGGCAGAGAATGCCAAGGATCACTGGCCAAAGTAACCCTATTATGGAAGAGCTGTGGTTTAGAAATGAGATTTCCTACCTCTGAAAACTATTTAATCAGTGTTGGAAAGATTTTTTTTACCAAATTTTATGGATTTCAATATGAAATCCATAATTTCTGAGTCTGTGCTTGTTTGGATTTTATTATTTATTTATGTTCTTGCACCGAGAAGGAAAAACACAGAAAAAAGTCTTCTGCTTCTCATTTTGTTTTTCCATTCAAACACCAGAAATTGAAGTTCATAACACAACTGGATTTATTACATATTGAAGTATAGAATAATAGCTTAACAAAGGCATCAAGGGAATTTGAAAATTCTTTTAATTTAATTTTGATTGTTCTAAATATACATAAGTTCATATTACAAGTTCTTTAACATAAGTGTATATTTTTAAATGAAAATTGCTCATAATGGATATGTTTATTGTTTCTAAAGATTAGTGTTGTGGTCAAGATGCCAACTGTATAAGTATAGAGATACAAATCAATAACAATCAGTATTTTCAAAACTAATGAGCATTGAGCTGGGAAACATACATTCTGTATTTAAACAATCAAAAAAGCAAAATCTGGTACACATCCATCTGGATTTGCATGTGAAAAACTTGACTGAGGCTTAGGTGTGACTTGTGTACACTAAATTATGTGTAGGAATTAAAGAGAGAAGAAATGTTCACAAAATTTAGATGTCTGTGTGATAAACCTTTAAGGACATGATTGCATAAATTTGCAACTCAACAATTTTTTTGTGTCTTTCACCTACACTTTACCTTAATTAGCTCACTGGAAACTAATATGTTAATTTGAATCAGTCAGAGCTTATTCTTTCTTCCCCAAAAACCTGCTTAAGCCACTGTTATCAAAGTCAATGACCCTTCAACATCACGATAAATCACAGAAGAAAGGTTCTGAAATTCATTAGCTCTTGCTCTTGCCTTCTCTCTTTACTGTAGACCAGACGTGAAGACATTTGGTCTCTAGTGTCAACAGGATGCTTACACTGCCACTCCTGACAGACTTTTGAAATCTTGCATGCCAGGTCCAGAATTCACAGCAGCAAGTCATAATTAATCAGGAGCCATTCCAATACTATGTGCTTGCTTGAAAAGAAAAATGCTTTACAAAAGCCTCTGATGAAGCTTCCACACTTTTCAACTGCAAAGCTGAATCCAATGGTAGACTTCAGAAAATGGGTACTTACATGAAAAATAAGAGTTTGGTTAAAAGATAAGATTAAGCACATGCTGAGCTTAGCCAGATGCTTAAAGTGCTTTGCTGAAGCAAATCTGAAACTAGGCTTGTTTTGTTTTACCCATGATAGGTAGAAAATGAAAAAATATATGAAGCTAGGACTGAAACAAAACTCCCAGTGAAATGGACAGCCCCGGAGGCAATTCGCTACAACAGATTCAGCATTAAATCAGATGTCTGGTCCTTTGGGATACTTCTGTTTGAAATAATTACCTATGGGCAGATGCCTTATCATGGTAAGTACTTTTACCTAAAGAATGATGTATAATTTTTTTCTTGATTTCAGAATAATACAAAAAAAGAAGGTTGAATGCCTGTATTATGGGCATGTTAAAGGGTTAACATTTTAAAGAGAGGAAGAAGGTTGTTCAGATGAGGTCCATTTAGTGGGGCAGACCTTCTGGCTTCCCCGGGCCTCCTGGCAGCTTTGCAAAGGCTGTGGTTAGCACACATTCAAGCTTCCTCTTGATGGAGTCAATCTGCACTTCAGAGGCACCTAAGCCAGCTGGCTATTTTCCTCCATCGTCAGATCAAAGATGCCAACTCTTGGAATGTGAAAAAGGAAAGAAATAAAGGGAGGGATTTTTGTTCCCCAACCTGCCCCTTTTGAATTTTTTTTAGTATATCTCAAGGAAGAATAGATTATGTGTGAAGTGCTGCACAGGCACTTCAGAAAGAAGTGTCTGAAAAATAAATCAGGGTGCTTTTACCCTCCTCCATCATATATGATTGTTGCAGTGAAAAGTCTTCATAAAGGAATAGATCACAAGAATTAAATAATTAAAAAAATAAAATGTCACCAACCTCAAAAGTAGATATAGTAGTCTGAGAGCAGCTACTATTTCTAGTACTGCGAGAAATGCTCAAGGAACCATGGCTCCAATAACACAAGATATCAGTGAGATGATTGACTGTGACTCATTTTGTGCTGGTGAGTAGAACACAAGGGAAGAACTAAAGCAAAAAAAAAGTTATTTTGCGTCTGTACAGGCCTGAGGGGTGGTGCGTTTGCCATAAACTACATTTCACAGAGTCCCAAACTGATATTTTCTGTAAAAGGAAAAATTGATTTTGCTTTTTGATTCCCACCCTCACCTCCTGCAAAATTGTTCTGAAGAAAAAAAAGCAAAGCAAAATATCCTGAAGTCTTATATAAACTATAGTTGTGTGCATATGGACACACACACACATAAATACATCATTTTAGTATAAAAAATATGTAACACTGTGGCTCTGGATATTGTCTGAAAACCCATTCAGTATTACCCCCTTGCAAAGGCATAGTTTATCTGTATCTTGAAAGTAGAAAATGTCATTTTACTATTTGCTTACTTGGTATTACTTTCAGGAGTTTGTTCCCAGTAGTCAGTTAGAAGAGTTTATGTTGATTTGTGGTGGAAGTGGATAATGTGCACAGGACACACCATCAGAGATCTAGGGAAAAGAAGTTAACATAACTTAAGATGGAATTTAAAGAATAAAATATTGGAAGAGAACTGGACAATAATCTTAGTATATAAAGGTATAGCAAAGATAGGGAAATGAATGGTTTCTTCTCCATGACTGGTGATGATGGAGCAAGCAGGATACCATTGCCCAGCTGCTCTTGAGAAATGAGGGCTGACTTTAGGAAAAAGTTTCTAAATGTGAGGAAAATTCAGCAGCTGGTCAGGTTTTCTTAGGAGATTTTGTAGTCACTGAGACTAGAGGCATTTAGGAACTATTTAAGCTAAATAGATGCCAGAAAAATGTTGAGAAATCCGAATGGTGGAAGAAAAGCCTCACACGCAGACAAACCTATTTGCGATGCCTTGCAGCTGGCACAGTCAGGGTGAGGTGGTGGGGAAATGTTGGAGGTGGTTTTTAATTGCTGGTAAGCAGTAAGAGATGAGGCCCTGTCCCTGGAATTGTTCAAGGCCAGGCTGGAAGGGCTTTGAGCAACCTGGTCTAGTGGAAGGTGTCCCTGCTCATGGCAGGGTCTTGAACCAGGCGGGTGATCTTTAAGGTCCTTTCCAACCCAAAGTGTTCTGTGGTGATTCTGTGCTGAAGAGAGAGGGACACATGGCACCCAGAAGCAGATCCTGAGTAGCCTGGTGAACTCATTTTGGCTTGCAGGTATGCCGGGACACCAGGTGATCCAGCTGCTGGACAGTGGGTACAGACTTCCTCAGCCGGAGACGTGCCCAGCGCCACTCTACAAGCTGATGAAGCAGTGCTGGAGCGCGGAGGCCGAGGAGCGGCCCACCTTTGAGGCCCTCAGCGACCAGCTGGAGAACTACTTCAACAACGAGCTCTATTCCTTTGCCTAGGCCCAGGCCATGGGACATGAACCCTCAGGATGCTCCTGAAGGACATGTCCTAGCCAACATGGCTAAAGGAGGCTGTGGAGTCGGCCTAACCCCAGGTGTGGGGTTATTTGGGGGTGCTGAAGAATCCTGGCACACTTCATCTCCTCCCTGATCTTCAAAGACTTAATTTTTTTGCTGCTGGCAAGTGTTTTGCAAAACAAAGCATGAGGAAGCTGGAGGCTGGGTGTTTCTAAATGATAGTCTTCTATTTATTTTAAAATGACATGTTGCAAGAACAAACAATTGAAATGAGTCTAGCTAAGAAACTATTGTAGCTTTTTGTAATTTCTTTATTGAAATAATTATTTACTGTTAGACTTTTCATTCCTATCATTTCTCAAGAAGGAATGTGATGGCTCTACACAGCAGGATCTGTGCTCCCAGAGTCTTTTCATTGTAAAAAATAATAAAAGTAATCCTGTGACTGTGATGGCTCTGATTTGGCAGAATCCAAATTAATTGCCTTGCTTAGAATTGAAGTACATGTGCTTTTGCTATATCTGAAAATAAACAGATATTCATGGGAGAAAAGGAATTATTTGGTTTTGTAGATGCACAGGCTGATCTTTTTATATTTTGTCTACTGCACTCCTTTTACAAGAATAAACAAAATTATTATTTTGAATTATTATTAGAAGCTGTTTGTTCTTAAGATTGTTAAATATCTATGACTTACTGTCCATTGAACTGTGAGGATTTATTTTATGGTTCTTAATTTTAGGGATATTGGAGGAAAATATATTTTAACAAGAACTCAAGACTGTCTCAGTGTTTTAGAGTGACAGCCTTTTCAATCCTACTTCCCCAAATCACAAACCCTCTCCAACAGGGCAAGTCTAGGTATTTTGCAGAGTAACCTTCTTCAGGTTCAACTTTAATACAGGAGATTTGAGTAATAGATGATCCATTTTATTTTGTTCCATGGAGAAATACAGCCCAGGTGCTTCTTCTAGCAGTCTGTATATCTAGCTATAGATGTTAATTTTTTTTGCCCTTTCCCTAACTACAATATCTGTTCTGCTAAAATCTGGTATCACTGTGACAGTTTTATTTTCTTAGTTGTGAGGCTAACAGAACCAAGTTTTAATTATTTACTTATGATTCATCAGTTAATTATTTAACAACATAATTAAAATAGCATAAGGAATTAAGACGTGTATTGTGTTAACATAGTGTGAGGTCAATACAAGTGTGCTACCATTTTCCTCTAATATCAGAAAGATCCATTACTGGATCTGGGTGGCTTTTATTACATCTTTTCCATATGATTATCTTCACTTTATATTTCAAATCTATTAATCTTGTTTGCTTGCCTTGCTTCTAATTTTTAATTTCCTTTCCCCCTCCTCTGCCTTTGGATGGCAGCACACTGCTCATTTCTTTCATACACACCTCTTAAGTACTCATTATTCAAAAGCCCTTTCCTTGTTTATCATTTTTCTTCTCTTTCTATCTCACTACAGTGGCTTTCCAGCACTGTGTCTATGTTCAACTTAATTTTCTGTGCAGTGTTTCTCTCTACTAACCTTCTTTATACTAATTTAATTTGTAAAGCATAATACAGCTATAATTAATTAGCTGTCATAGCATCCATGTGATTTTGGAAAGTAATCATCCACTCTGAAAGAAGAAGAGGTTGAATGGCTTTGCCAAACCCATCTGATAAGAGTTGGCATGGATGGGCCTGGGAGATTCCCAGGCAAAGTCTCCTGCTGTCCTCCGTCTCTGCTTGTTTTGAGGCTTGTGCTAGCTTCTGGCTCATGGCCTCAACAAGATGTTATTTATGATTATCATACTTCCATCAATCCATGCATCTCTCATCTAGCTAGGAGCTGTGTTTAACTCTGTTACAGTATGAGGTTAACCAACCCCACAGAGTGGGTTTCTGTGATAATAGGGATGCTGTTATGTGGAAAGATCTCTGCATTAAACTTGTGATCTTCCTGTTCAAGCAGTATTTCTAACCTGATTTTTCAGATTTATGACATTAAGAACGTTGCAAATAAAAGTTGAGTTTACCCAATTAAAAAAAAAAAAAAAGCCCCGCCCCAAAAAAAAACCCAAAAAACCCCAAACCCAAAAAATCAAAACTGCTGATGAAAGATCAGCACAGATGTGTGCATTTCACAGGAGAAAAGCTACCAGGAAAAAAAAAATTGACAGCTGGGAAAGTTTTCAGAATTCCAAATTACACCAGTTTGGTCCAAGCTGTTCTGTGCTGGCCTCTGCCCTTGAGTGGAAGTCAACAGGATATTGCAGAACTCCACTGAAGTGACATCAGTAATTCTGAAGAAATCCCACAATGAATATATTGTGAAACAAACATTTATGGAGTAGAAAGTCTGTTTGTCCAGCTAAATTGACTTCTTCGTCTCCTTAATTTCTCTTATAGTCAAAGGAGAGAGAGGCTCCTTGAGATGATGAAGCAGTGACCCAAAACTTCATTTCCCCTCTGAAACACCCTTGGCAGAGTTCTCTGTGGTTGCTGCTGTGAAGGAATTTGCTGGGGAGGGTGTGTAATAACCCACTTGCTGCAAACTGCAATCAGCTGTTTCAAGCTCCTTCTACTAAGCGCAGCCTCAGGAGCCACCTTAGGCCGAAAGGAGCAAAAACTGCAGGTGAGCTGCACCCTGCTGAGCTGTGTGAGGAGCAGGCACCTGCATGTGATGGCCTCCAAGTGTTGCAGCCTGGCACACTGGGCTGCTGCTAGCAGGCACCTTTCCCTCCTGTTGCATCCTGCCACTCTATTTCCACTTTTATTTTGTGTGCTTGCACAGCTGCAGCTGCTTAATGGAGTTTGGGTCTGCCAGCTGCCTCTCCTACGTGCTGGCCCAGGGAGGGAGACCTGCAGTGCTGTCTGAAGAGGGGCAGGTAGGTTTGTTTTGGTGTGTCTCATTATAGGCGCTACAGCAAGTAAATTAATTTTGTGCTCATCTTTGAGGCAGCCTGTGCATGTCTGGCCTCCCCAAAATGTACTGTAGGTGAAAAGGTGTGGTGAATCTTTGTCTGCTAAGCCTGAGCTCTGTTTTCACCTCACTGTTATGTGTCCTGAGACCAGTGCACTTTCTTTTCACAGCAAATTGAAAAGCAAAGAAAAGAAGGAAAGCAGGCTGTTCATTTTTCTCTTGCTCTAATTACACTAAATCTGGTGCCTGGTAGAGTTCCTTTGCCACTGTGAACAATCCAGTGGAGGCCAAGTTTGGGAACTGCAGGTGCTGGTCTGAGATCCATTGGTTTCTTTTTCTGGCTTAATCCACACACTTGCACTGACTCCCTCATTTTGCCTGTCTGGAAACAGCTGCCATGCAAGAGAAATACTGCCACTCTAATATGAGGTCTAATTTTGGATTGTTTTGTTTTAACTTGGGCTAGCAGGGGAACAAAGGAGACAAAAATGGCTAAATGCAACAGAATCAGTAAAGCTCTGGAAATAAAAAGTAATAGGGAAAATTAATAATTGTTTTTCAGCTCTTTCAATATTTTTGCAATTGAATGGATCCATTATTAAGAAAGACTAGAGGAAGAAGGCAGCAAAGAGTGATAAACCTTCACAGAGTTCAATTTGCTTACAGGCAATGCAACAAGCAAAACTGTACCTTTTATAATAATTTTATTTATGTGACAGATAACAATTACAGTCAGAAGTCTTTTCTATGACTTGTTTTAAATTAAACCTCAAGGTTATCATTTCCAGTTATAGTGCACAGCAAGATAGGTTTAACAGATCTCATTCTATTCTTGAGGCCTTTTATGTTCAAGGCTCTGCTAGAACTGTCTATTGCACTTGTTTTTACCTGATGGATCATGGAGGGAAAATAATGGATTCAGTTATGAGAAACAGTAATAGATTTTTTTTGAACTGACATAAATTTCTATGTTTAGATAGAATAAAAGGATCAGGAAGAGATAAGTTGAATTTTCTACAATAGACTGCTTCTTGTGAAATTCACTTCACATAAATTGCACTGAGATGTCTTTTATGTAATGTTTTATTTATGTAATTCAGTTATTCTTTGACAACTAAATCATTTTATGTGGTTTTACAAATGATAACTTAAAAATGTCCAGCCATAAAGAAAGAACCTCTATTTTTCTTAAACTCTCCATTCCTCAGAAAGTTATGGAACAATGCAATTGAGAAGTATTAGAGAGTCCCTGGTGTTTATTTTTTACTTCTTTTGGAGAACTCATTTCACTTAATCTGTACTCAACAACATATGCAGGGGTATTAAACATGATAGGGTAACAGGAAACCTTCTGTCTCTCATACTGCTTTCTTTTACTATCCATTGTATGCCATACTTGCTCTCCAAATTACATGACTATGAGCAGAAATTTTCTTTGCGTATTTTTGTAACTTACAGCAAAAAAGGAACTGAACCAGTCGAGTGCATTATTTTGTGGTGGTTCAGATTCAACAAATTATCAGCACAGAGAAATGGAGCACATGACTTATTCAAGTGATTGCTCCTTGTGCTCTCTCTCCCACATGCTTCTGTTTCATGATTTCACAAATTGCTGTAGCAACTCATCCACTCAGTGCCCCCCAGCCATTGTGACTGGTCAGCTACTTGTAGTGTATAGATCTTGGAGCAAATAAAACTGCTGCATGTAGGAGCTGCTCCACTGTGCTTGAAGGGGTATAAGTATCTGGTATATTTTTATGAAAAGCTGCATGGTTTTCATTCTGTTCCAACAAGATCTAGTGTGTACCTCAGCCACTGCTGCAAAAGTTTTCTCAGAAGAACTGTCTATGCTTGAACAAAATACTGAACTGGGATCTATGAAAAAAGACTTAATTCTATCCACACTTACTATTAGCAGGTCCATGTAATTTATTTTTTAGTCTCAGGCTTCTCAGGAAAGACTAATGTGAAAGAAAAAAAAAATCAATGGCATGTATAAGCAAGCTGGGGAAATCACTAAAAAGTACTTTGGCATTTTAATCTTCACAGCTATAT